AGACGCACATTTAGCTCAGCTTCACACGGTTTTAACGTGCGTCTACCTTGTTAATGTAGTTTGTGGTCCGTCCGGAATCACCATGTCGTACCGCCCGCACTCGCGTCTTCTCTGAATCTCTCGGAACAAACGCAGGTCGTACGACGAACGGTAAAGAGACCCAACGCAGTCTTTTTTTCAAGCTTTAGGAGGACTTTGTAGTAAAGTGGACCGACAGAGCCCAAGTCCCGACGACGGTCACCGTCAGAACAGAATGATAAGACAGCTCACTCACCTTGGCCGTGATGTAGAACAGGTTGTTGAGCACCATCTCGGTGGCCTCGGCCGAGCCCCAGCCCTCGCGGCGGCCCCCGGCGCGCGTCAGCTCCGACGCGTAGTACTGCAACAGAACGAGAGGAGACAATAAGCCAGACTGATCGACAGAGAGCGCGCGTGAGAGCTCCCCGCTGGCAGGCGGCATGGCAGGGCCGTGCATATGAGGAATGCGAATGCGATGTCCTTCGACGCAACCGCCACCCCCTTTGGGTGCCGTCCCCTTGATATATGTCTGACAATGCGGGCACGCCCCTGCGACGGGGTGTGGTGTGCCGTGGCGTGGTATGGCGTGGTGTGGCGTGGTGTGGCGTGGCGTGGTGTGGCGTGGTGTGCCGTGCCGTGGCGTGGCGTGGTGTGGTGTGGCGTGGCGTGGCGTGGCGTGGCGTGGCGCGCCCGGGCCTGCGGTTCGCTCCCTCTGATTTGCATCCCCCCGCTCTCCCCCACGGCGACCTTGGGACACACACTCTCCTTGCTCCCCTGCTCCCCCTATTTACCCGATCCGACCCGACCTGGCCGCACGATCAGGCGGGACCCGATGGCCACGTACAAGGCTGGCCGTCGTGTGCAACCCCGCCCGACCGCCCCAACTCAACCTCCCCGACACGCGCCGTCGTTCGGAACAGCTGTCTCAGCGGCGCCAACGTTACCCGAGCTCTTTCCATAGAGCAAGTAGTGGTGGTTCCGCAAATACTTTGAAGAGCGGCAGTGGGTGTTCGTGAGTACCTCCCGGGTGGGTACCTTGCCCTTGTTTTTTTGTTGGGGGCCTCTCGCCCTTCAAGATGCGCAGCACGATCCTTCGACGACCCAAATCGGGAAACGCAAGACAGAAGGAAAGGAAAGAAAGGCAGCTCCTCCACCTCCACCGCGGCCGCGCCGAGGGCCGCGCTGCCGTGTGACGCCTTCCTTCTCCTGCTCCCGGATGTTATCGGGGACCGGCCAAAAGTTGCTCCAACCCGCAGCCCGCCCTTCATCAAACGGAGAAGAGAGAAAGAGGGGAGGTGGGGG